AACTTTTTAGACCGAAGAAGCTGCTTAGACAAGTAGCGAAACGTCTGTAACCAAAAAAGAAAAGAAGTCCAGTTGCCATGACTCAACCTCCAGACAATAGTATAGAACTTATTTTTTAAAAAGTTACATTGGAAGAATTTTTACAATATTTTAAAAGCCTACATCAGAAAAATTCTATGTATTGAATAATGAATGTAGGGTGATTTGCATTTTTAAAATGAACATGGACATTTTGACAAATTCAGCCAGAACTGTTCTTTTTACATTTATACAGAAATAATTACACTGACTATTCATTAACTTCCAAGTCTTATGATCTGATAATTAAAATATTTTAAAATTGTGATTCAAATATCTGATAAGTGTCTCTTCCCATACCAGTCCACTGATCTCTGAAGGTCTGTTAAGATGACCATGATTTCCAGAGTTTCATTATGCGTTTACTGAGGAAAGGCATTTTCTTGGGGACACCATGACTCTGGAATAGTCATTTCAAGAACATTGATCTTTGCCTAAAAATGCAGTATTTCTGGTGCCAGTTTAAAACTGATTTAGTTGTCAGGCATTTTAGAGGAATTGTTGTTGGGCTTGGTTTGTGTTAGCATGTTTTGATATTTTTTAATCTGCTATACTTGGTGCAAACAGTTGTTATAAGCAGTTATTACATTTCCAGTTTTATGTATTGTATTTATATATTTAGGTAAATAGTTTATTTCCAGTTTTGTGCACCAATCTGTTTTTAAGACATTTTAAAAACTCTTAAAAGATGTATATAAATAAGATTATGTATATATCAAATCCAGTTTTTCATTTCTTGTGTAATTAGCCCTCAACAGTTTAGTAATCCTGCAAATGATAGGGTCAATGAGTCTTAAAAATAATTTGGGGTATATTCTCATGCAGGTAACAGCATCTGTTTTTTCCTGCCAGCACATGAATGTTCCCCCCCCCACACACACACAACTAGATATAAGTTCTATATGATTGTCTGCTTCTTAATTTACTGCCACTCTATGTATAAATTAAGATATCCTCTTAAAATATCCCAACATGTGATTAATGTAAATCTTACAGGTACAACAGCTTCATACCTTGCATGAAAATGGTGGAATGGTACCTCTTGGCAATAAGCTCTTTGTCACAGGCGGCTACTGGAAAGGTATGGATGGCGACTATCAAGTAGAGATGGAAATGTATGATTGTGCCAAGGATGTTTGGACAAGAGAAGGGTCACTTCCCTGTTTATGGCTCTACCATGCATCTTCTTCTATCTTCATGGATACTTCAAAGTGGAGGGAACTTTTCCAGTTGTGATCACAGAGTTTGGTTTGACATCTCACAGCTCTGACTGAAGGTTTGGAAAAGGAATAACCTTTTTTATTATACTACAGTTTTATATGCTCTTTGGTGTCTCTTAGTTCTGACTTCATAAGAATTATAGCTTTGACACTATAGCCTCTGTTGAGCTGAACCAACTTCCCTACAGTGAATTTCTTCGTTCACAGCAATAGCCTTAAAGCCTTAATTGTAAAAATCTTAGAATAAGCATAACAGTTGTGTTGCTATAAGCGTTATTAGAATACACAGATTCAATAAACTAAGTTAAAATTCCAGCACCTGATTCCAACCAACCAATGTAATGGGTGAACCAGGAACTTAGAAAATTCATCTGTGAAAACATCTGCAATCTTTTAAAATTAGCTGACACTTTCATGAGATTCCAGTGCAAAATACATTATGCATCATATACTTGATATGCTCATGTAGGGTAGTTTCAGTGTGAAAAAGAAAATGGCCCTGCCCAGGGTTAGGCAAGTTTAAATCTTCAGTACTAACTTCATGGATTGGATTGAAGTAAGTATCTGAAAGAGACCAAAAATAATGTGAGACAATTCTAAATTAGAACTAGAATTGCTCAGTACTAATTTTAGATCAGAATGGCTAATGTTGATGTGTGACCTTAGGAATCAAAAACTTTGGGAGACATGCTTCTTAAAATAATCTAGGAATGTTACTTGTATATCTGTTTTTGTCACTGTGGAGCAGCCTTCCCCAATCCCATTGTCATTCAGATGTGTTGGATTTCAATTCCCATGATCCCTAGCCAGCTCAGACATGCCTAGGATCATGGAAGTTGTAGTTGAATATAGCAGGGGAATGCCGAGCTGAAGAAGGCGGTCCTAGGACTAGTTCTGTATCTAAGGAAGTGTGAGCATGCTCAATTTAATTATCCTCATATTTTTATTAATTCCAGCTGTGAAAAGAAAATATACTTCTTCCATGTTGATCATTCTCCAACTGGTCATTATGATAAAAGAGTCTCATTTGTCATTTTTAGTATATATTTCTTTTTTTATTGTTACTGGTGCTTATTATTCAAAGTTTCTTTTGGGTGATAAATACTGTATAATTATAAACTTTGTGCCTCTGTTCACAGTAAGAATATATTTATTGGAGGGGAGGGCAAGAATTTTTTTGTCTTGCAGATATTCTTGAATTTTAGCTTCCTATTTTATGTGCTTGGTATATATGTATCTAAGTAATATCCCTATGCCCTATGAGAGATTACTTTTATTCCTAGTAGAATTTTTAGTCTTGGAAGGTATCATATACTTAGGGGTGGGGAAAAGTGATAGCATTAGCTACAAGAAACCTATTCTTTTTTAAAGGATAATTTTAGACTAATTATTTCTAATTATTCATGCTATCCTGACACTGAATGTTTTAAATATTAATCTGAAAGTGAAAAACCTATGGCTTTCCAAAAGTCATCAAACTACAAGTTCCAGCAACCCTGGTCATTATAGCTAAGAATGGGAAAATTCTGTTCAGTGATAAAACAGTGGAAACCTTATAGGTTTTACAGATCAGAAAATTCGTCATGGGCAGTTGTTAAATTAAATATAACTGCATACTCATAAGGAGCTCAGTTCCAAAATTATTCACATAGCAGAAAGCCCTAACTGGGTTTTACTCATAAGCAAGTGTGTTTAAGATACTATAATCTTAAGGACTTCTCCAGCCTTGTTTCTTCCAAATGCGTAGAGACTGCAATAACCAGAAATTCCACCTGACGTGACTAAAAGGATTCTGGGAGTTGCAGTTCCAACCCAGTGGCAATTGTGGGGAGTCAAAAAAGCCAAGATGCCAATTATAACCTTTTGATCAAAATCCCGCCATTTGCACATGCATGTGTCATTGATACATGCATAAAGTGGTGGGGCTTTCCTTCTACATCTACGACAATCATCTTGCCTTGTCGAACACATCTGGAGGGCACCACGTAGGAAAAGATATTCAACAGCATTACAATGACCACGGCTTATTGTTGCACTGATTTTAAGCACCATGGACAAAATTCAGCAATGAGCCAATAAAGTAAGATGATAATTGTGACTAAGTGAAGCCCTACTAATTTCAGTGGAAATTAGATGCAACTGATTCCTAGGAGATTAGGTCCTCTGTATCTCACACCGTAGACTGTTATTTATGAATAAAGTTTTCATATTTATTTATTGGTAAAGTAAGCCCACTCACCATCTTAAGTTTTGCTATATTTCTGTGATTTTTTTTTACTAGGCATAAAATGTTTCTGAGAAGTGATGCTACATTACTATATATCACAAGCTTATTTTTGCCACAGTATTTATGTTTACAGTTAGATATCACTTTTACTAACAATTGTCTGGAGGAGAATAGTCTGTCTACTGATTGTGATAAAGTACAAAAATGGGCAGACTGATTATTTGATTTTGTAAGATTATTGTGCAATGTAAATGGTAACTTTCAAAAAAGAAACATTTATTTCTAGTCATCCAGCCTGGAAAATAATCTAGGTAGTTTTTAATATCTAGATAGTCCATTAATAATGTACATAAGTAGTTCTCTGTAATTCTTATACTACTGTGAACTTCTCAAAATGGTACTATATCTCAGAATTCTTTTAAATATAAATAAAAAATGAATCCAACTTCAGTGTGACTGGGTTTTTTTGTTCAATTTTTATTTTAATATTTTATGTGCTCTTTGTCTAGTAACTTTATTACTTTTATGAAATTTATCTCTATGATAATCAGTCTCTGTTATGACCATTATTTCAGTTAAAAGTCCTGAAATATTAATTATCACCTACATTGCCTGCTAGTATAAATCAAGCTGAGCAAGATTTGTTTATGTACTTTAACCTAGCTGCTGTATGATGAATATTTTAGTCGCCAGGGAAGGTACACAGGGGATGTGCAATGCTTTGTATTTGATTCCAAAACATTCCTTTAGCATGCAGGGAAGCACAAACACAGCATGTGGCTGCAATTCATGAAGTCGGCTGCATCTGTTTTCAGGATCCCACAGTAGCTGCTTTAATGAGATCCTCAGAAGCACCTTTGGGAAACTGAATTGAAAGCATTGCATGCTCTAATATGCACTGACTTTTGTTTTGAGGACTAAATGGAGTTTTCATTCCCATGACATCATTGGCATGGTCAAGGAAAATAGAAGGAGAAGGGGAGAGGGAACAGCTTGGTTACCTCACTCTGCTGGGAACAGTAGGCCAAGGCAATGACGTGAGAGCTCAAGAATGGAACTTAAGATTTCATTTAGGCATGAAGGAAAAGAGAGAGGGAGAGCCAGACCTTTGGTATAGCTCTGCACATATAGTCTTTCATAGGATTTCTAAGATGTTACCAGTATCTGACCCTGAAGGTAAGAAGGCACCAGGCAAGATAGTTTGCATATTCTACTTGGCAGAACATTTATAGGTTAATGTGATGTAGCTGATATTACAGAGTGTTGAATTCAGAGTGGGGAGACCTTGATCAATTTGGGACTAGTAAATACTTCAAATATGCCTCCTCTCTTGCCCAAAGCCTTGTCTGTGTTAGCTTCTGTGGGATCTCTTTATCCTTCTTTGATTTCTGGGTCTCTGCTTTCGCTGTATAGCATGTATACTGTATATATATATGTTAATGAGGACTGTGTGAAGGAAATATGAGCAAGAAAGAGATTGTAATTTTTAATAATTTCTCACACAAGCACATTTTGTTCTCAGAATGCAAGAACTAGTGTAGTTATTTTCAACCTAGTTTCCTTCAAATAATCTTGGGCTACAATTTTCAGAATATCTAGCCAACATAGGCAGAAAGTCTTATAACTCTAATCCAAACACATCAAGAGGGCCCCAGAATGAAGAAAACCAACAAAGGAATTTCTGTGCAAAACCTTTTTGTATCTCTTCTTTTTGTTTTTTCCTTTCTCTAAATGTGCTTTTGGTAGACTTGACCCTAATTATTCAGAATTATGAAGGAAAATACAGGATGGCTGAATAATTCAGGGGAGATATGGGGAAGCTAAAGCATAGCTTTATTCCCAGGTGGTCCAGCTATAACACCCATAATTATAGGCACATCCACATGTAGTGCTCAGCCTCTTGCAGAACATCTCATTAACCATTTCTTGAGGACAGGAATGCACCATATCATTCTCAACCTGTCCCAGCCCACTATAAAGGCAACTTAACACCAAAAGTAGTGTTTTCTGCTTTCTGCCAGCATATGTAGTGCTGTGTGATCTGCCTGCTGCATTTCATTTTGCTGTAGACAACGTTTCTGCTCTAACGTCCCCCTATGAGCTATGACAGAAGCACCCCCTCCCCTCCAATTACTAGCCACTGCCCTCCACAGACGTTTCATTCTAAGCTGCTGGGCTGCCTGCCTCCTTCTGAAGAACCTTCCCATGGCAGACTGGTGAAAGGTTGGGTCCTCTTTCTTTTTTTTTACAGATTCACTGGTGGATTGGTAAAAGGCTTCCCCCAAGTTCACCACTGAAATCAAGAGCCATGGTAACTGTGATCTGGACAGAACCCCTAACCAGCATTGTTGCCAAAGCTCAAGAATGGATTGAAATCCAGACAGCAGTTTCTTAAGTTGGCTTCATTTCCAGCCAGTTTCAGCACAGGAAACAAGCAGTTTGTGGCTGCCATGTATAAAAGCCCTATGGCTCCTTCCAGTTTCACACAGAACACATGCTTTTCTTCTTTACTAATGATGAACAGGAGGGGCTTTGGGAAGCAGGAAAGGCCTTTATTGAGGCCCTGAAGACTGGTGGGAATAACCTGGTGGGCAGAGTAAGCAATTTTACATGTCTGATAACTGAGAATCAAACCAACAATGTTCATGTTTAATATGCAGCATGAAAAAAAAATATTGCATCCAAAAGTGCTGGCTTCTAGTATTGCAAGAGTAATGCAAAAGGAATATAGTACATTTCTTTCTGTTAATCCCTTTCAAATGTTTTCTGCCTTTTAACTATTTCTCTTCTATTCAGTGTAATGTGAATGAAATTATGTACTGTATACCACCCCCAGAGCTAATGCACATTCCCTTAATTCTGGGTAGTTGCTATAATAATAGAAAGCAAATGAGCACTGCCACACAGTAACACTGCCATTCTTCAGTTGATCCAGAGCATTCTGAAGGCAGCCATAAGATCATTCTCATTCCTGCTGATCTCAGCATGATGAGAAAAAGGAACACCATGAACCAATTGGTGCTTCCTCCACTGACCCAAGAGAAGAATGAAAAAACCCTGTCATTCAAGTGGTGCCTCACCCACTCAGTTATGGTAACTCCTGGAGTAATAAAAATACTTTCCCTTCCCCCAGGTTTTCAGTTCATGCTATATGAAAAAAAATCTAAACTGTTGGTATGAGGATAAAGCTGCCTTGTAATCAAGACTTCATTATTTCTGCATATGAATTCCCATTTAAAGCTGTAATGATGAAACAATACTGTAGTTTTGCAGCTTATCCCAACAGCTGCAATCAAGGTTGTGAGTTGCAGTGTGGAATCTCTGTGTATGAGGGTAATGTGTGTGTCTGTGTGTGTGTGTGAGAGAGAGAGAGAGAGAGAGAGAGATGGCTCAATTAAGCTCAGAGGCTGGGCTATCCTGAGACACTGAGGGACAAGAATCCAAGGCAAGCTGTTAATATGACCAGGGAAAATCAAGGTATTTTGTTTCTGTTTTTACTGCAATTATAAAACTGAGTAGAAACTGACTAGAAGCATTAAGATCACATTTGCTGATATTGTAGGAGGACAGCCATGTTAGTCCTCAGTGCCCAAAAAAATCAGGAGGAGTCTAGTAGCACCTTTTCAACTAATAAGTTTTATTAAAAGGTATAAGCTTTTGTGAGCTGCAATTCACTTCATCAGATTTGGATCACTAAATTTCATTTCATCAGATTAGATAACTAAAATGTGTTATTTGGAAAAGGTGCTACCAGATTCCTCCTGATTTTTTGCTGATATAGCCTCCTGTGAAATCTACTAGAGAACTCCAAATTTAGCTAGTCCAATCTCTCCTGCAACCTAAACCAACATGGTCAGGAAGAGCAATGGCTGGAGGAGAGGGAACATGCTCCTAGCAGCCTGAAGTGGCCAACAGGGACTAGACAGCCTCTGACCACATTGTTGGTGAAGTGTGCTAGATTGTGCCCAGAGTATAAATTGTGTTGGGAGAAGAGGGAAAACTGGAATAGCTGAAGGTGACTAAGCTGCCTTTGCTGGGAGTGGGGAATTAGATGAAGGCAATAATGTGAGGAGTTGTCAAAGAGAAATGGTTTATCAGGGCAGGGTAGTTCCATGGTTGGAGATGAGGATGAGCCCTTTAATGTGGCTGTCTGGCTGTGCTCAAACAGCTTCCCATGGAGAATGATGCATCAAATTAGCACCAAAGCCGCATGAGGAGGGGCCCTCTGAATTCTGAGGAATGGGAAGGCTGTATATATTCTAATCCTCCTTTGACAGACCCATGGACAGACCCTAACCATAATTTCTATTACTTTTAGTAATATTGGAATTCTGACTTGCTTGAAAGGCAAGAGCCATAGAAGTTTCTGTGGTGGAAGAAAGGCGCTTCTATGGTTGCATCAGATCTTCGAAGTTGAATTTTCTCTGTCCTCAGAACATGAGTGCTCAGACATAATATGGCCACTAGCATGTATGCTTAGAGACCATTAGAATTCTGGAGAATTCAGAATCCCTTTTGCCACTCTTATTTTGACCCTCCAAAGGAATGATATGGGTTATGATTGCATTTTCCCTCTTTCTCTTTCCTGCTGTATTCCTTAGAAAAGCCTCAAAGGAGACACTTAAACAATTTAAGATGGAGTATTGGGAAGAAAGCATTTCCTGCAATTATGCAAAGGTCCACAAGACTTTGGGCAATTCCTCCATTGGAAGTCTCCATTTTACCTCATTCAAGTGCATTTTCAGTTATTTTACTAAATCTATGCAAAGGATTGGACAGGTCAGATGTGGGAGTGGGAAACTTCTCTTCCATTCAGCTCCTTAAGTAAACTAAACTTGAGATTTAAAATGCAAAAATTGATTATTTCTGAAACAACAAAAATAACAGGAAAACTTATTAGTAAGCTTCTCTTGTATGCAATGGCTTTTATTGTATTTGTTATTTTGTTATTTCTGCTTTTGCTTTAGTTTTTATCTGCAGTTTTGTCTCTTATTGATTGATTCCATTTTCTTTATTTTCTTGAATGGACTACATGCTAAATGAGTTAGGACTGACAAATGAAAGATTGGAATGAAGGTCAAGAAATGGGACATATTTTAATTATAACTATATACTACACATAACACAAGATAGATACTGTAGATTTTAGATTAAAAACAAAACAGCATTAGGATGTATCAAAAGGAACATAGCATGGGATGTGTCATGCCCTAGAATCCCTTCAGCCACCAGGTCTCCCAGATTAAGCCCCCTTTCTCTCAGCCCCAACCTAAGCAGACTCTGTAAAGTAGCAACAAAGCCAATACAACCATCTGCACTTCATGTTAACCTGCAAGCTGCTGAAATTTCACAGAGCCACTTTTAGTACATACCTACCTCCTTGTTCTCCTGCCACCAGATGCTGAGGAGCTTCTGGATGGGCTCTGCTTTTGTAATTTGCTCCTGATGCCAAGAGGTGGCTCTCTAAGACAAGGACCATTCTGGTGAGGCGGGGAATTCAAGCTTATTAAAGGAAGGGAAGCTGGGCAAAGATATTCAGACAGGAGCAGAGTGGCAGTAGGGATGTAATCAGACAAGCATATAAGCACCTGGTTTGAAAAAGAGAGAGCACTGAAAAGACGTTGGGCCAAGCACTCCTAGGCAGCCAAAGCTATGAATGGAGCCATCATGGGACTTCTGTGGTTTTGATACAATTTTATCTATGCTCTGACTGAGGACCCAGGAAAAAGAGAGCAAACAGCTTCTGCACCATCTGGATGAGCTAACTCCTCTAAGGACAGCCTGGAACTCCTGATTTCTGCTACTTAGAGAGCTGCTTCTGAGGTGGTCCTGTGATGACCTATTACCCATCTTTAACTCTGAAAGAAGAAATTGCAATTCTCTTTCTGATCCAATGATCTGGTGCAATTGATCCGGTGCAGTGTGTGTTAGTTGTTTTTTTAAGTCTTACTTTTTTACAAGCTTTCTTTTTTTTTTTTTTTTTTTTTTGAGAAAAAGGTTGATATTCTTGGACAAGCCTGCTGTGAAAAAAATAAATTGAAGATACATTGGATAACTTCTTGCAGTTAATATTCCTTTGTGGAATTTTCACAGGTATACAGGCTGCTGTATATTTTTTGAAGGACTGCAAATTAACCTTGTCTTTCTGCTCCTGAGAAGTTCCCAGCCATATCTAATTCTAATTCTCTATATAAACCAAGTGTGCAGTTATGTACCAGAATATGGCTAAGCCCTTCCTTTCTGGCTGCCCACTTCGATTTTTGGCCATGGGTCTACTAGCAATGTTTTTTTGTGTTAGTACTGTGGAAAATGAGGAACGTGAAAACAGAAGGAACCAGGAAAAGACATCCCGATGGAATGAAACAAGCAGTCTTCCCTTGTCATCATCCCAGGATTCAGTAAGAATGTTTCATATGCTACTCCCTTCTTACTAACTGAAGGCTTCTTCCACCTCATCTCTTAGTAAAAATTGAAAATTCTCCCTTGATGTTAGCCCTACAATGGATATGGCATAGAAATAACATTGGGATAGACATTAGAGAAAGCAAAATAGTGCTCAATTATCAAAGTGAATTTTGCTTCTAGATGTTGTATGGTGAGCAATTTGCATACAAAAGTATGTCTTTCAGTCTATCTTGTCATAGTCATAATTGATTCTTATAGGAATTTATATATGCTAACTTGGAAATAAGTTCCATTGAGTGTGATGGGACTTTCTTATTAAACCATTATAGAGTTGCACTGAACTTTATTGGAAAAAAAGCATTTTATTTTTCTACCTGGCTGGCCTTATCTAAGCTCAGAAGTTACAAAGGGAGAGCTCTCATTAGTACTTGTATGAGAGACCACCAGGTAATTCTGGGATTGTAGACTAGACTGAAAAGATTATCTATCTATCTCTGTCATCTATCATCTATCTATCTATCTCTATCTAGCACCAGTTTCATTCTGTTGCCAAGAAAACTATATGGCAGTATCCTGAAATCACCAGACTTTGAACTCAACTTAAAGGAGACTTTACTTAAATAAACTACCACTGTTCCGACTAGTGGCTGTAGTATGGCTACAGACTTAGTTTTTTGTATGAAGAGATGTAGAAGATACTCAATGTAATTATTTCTGGCTGTGAGGAAATTGGGGTCACTTTGAAATATTATTCTTTCCAGTCTGGAACACTTAAAATTTATGGATCAGGAAATGTGAACATGTTTGTTTGAGGAGAAAGGAAATAAAGAGGGAGAACTTTGTATCAATACTAAATCATTTTGAGAATTATAAAAAAGACAATTTAAAGAACCTCACTGAGCCTATGTATTTATCTGATATGTTCATTAGCAATGTTTTATACTACCTATTAACAATAGTAGAGAGCAAAAATTTCTCTAAGTTAAAAATGTAAATGGAAAGTATATCTTCAAAGATGACAGCTTCATGTATGTTTTGAGAGACAAACAATGCAAAACCCAATCTTATCAATCATCCTTATGAAAAGAACTTGCAAATTCTCTTTTGGGTAATGGGGGACAGCAATCTAAACAGATAGTGCAGACCAGTCTTCCCCAATTTAGCAACTTCAAGGTTTGCTCAGTTTCTACAATTTTCAGCCAGCATGGCCAACCGATTGGAAATGTTGAAGAATTATATTCCAACAAACATGGATAGCAGTAGGTTAGGAAAACTAGCCCAGGTGGCAAAGAATATTCTGACTCATATCTGGAACAGCAGAAGATGTCGCTTTTTGAAATACTGTTGTCTTCCCAGGTTGTCTACATTTTGTCATGATCCTATATAGCTGCTTTGTTTAATTTTTTTTTAACTTTCTTTTCATTACACAAAGGAAAATACTGCAGAAAAGATTCGTAGCTCTGATTCTCGGAATGCCTGGATGCTCCTTGTGAACAACGAGGTGAGGAGCAAAAAAATGAATAAAAATAAGTCCAGAAAGATTAAGGTAAGCAATTTTAACCACGCTGCCCATGTTTTGATATGGCCTATCTTTGAAGTCAACTCAAAGTCCTGTTCCCACAACCTCAGCCACTAACCCAGTCAAATCTCCTTATCAATTCTGATAACACACTATCACAAGTCATCATTCTGAAAATATAGAGTCCTGGCCACTTTTTCCTAGAATTGACATGAGTGTTTGAACCACAAAAGTACCACATGGGTATGTTGGTCCCTTCTCCATTGGCTAGACAAGCAGAAGTAGGTGTGGCTTGGCCACTACAGCTAATCAGTGTTTAAAGGATATGTTCTGTGCTGGCCAAGTTTGGCAGTGAATCCTGGTTCAATTTTTTACCCACTCTTTTCTCCAGCTTTTTTTTTTTTTGGGATAACTTACTATGTGAAATGAGACAATTGACAGCTTTTAGGTATTCACACAACAAGACCAGGTAGAATTAATTAACTGTGTGCATGACTGTATTGCTCTGTCCCCAGCCCAGCAGGGTTAAGTCACAGATTCTTTTGAATTCAGAAGCAGTGACCACACCAGTGTGAATGCTTAAGGCTTTATTCCAAGGCAGTATAAGGAAATAACATAATCACATAATATGAGACAGCAATCAGAGAATATATAGGAATACTGAAGAACCCAACATGCCATCAAAGAATATTAACACAAGACAACAATTAAAAATATTCAAGAATACAGTTAGACAAAGAAAGACCTTAGACCCTTTCTGCCTGCCAGGGAACCCCAGAGAGAGGACAGCAGACAGACCTTCAAAAGCTAGCAAACACTCAACACCCACCCAGTTAGGTCTGCATGAAAGTTCCATCCCATGGGAGTTATAACGAGCTTATACATGCTCTGAAACATAATTAAGCATATCTGTTTTTCAATTTTTATTTATTTTATTTATCATATTTATATAACCACCCATTTCACACAAAGTGACTCTTTTCAATGGTCAAATCTCACTGGATTTTACCAGCACAATTTGTGAATCTGTTTAGGATTCACACTAGTTAATTCATATGTGGGTGAGGGGTGCAGGAAGAGTAGTTCAGATACTACAGTTGATATTGTATACCATTTATAAAACTGTTCCTGTGTCAGAGAGATTACAAAATGTTTTGAAGCTGATTAATTAAGAGAGAGACAAACATGAATTAATGAAATGGGGGCCAAGAAATGGACAATAGGAGGTAAAGGGTTTTGTGTTTGGACCTAAAGAAGCAGAATATAACTATTGTGGTGAATTTGGGTTCTAGTTTGCCATTCCAGGCCCGTTGGAGCCTGCAGAACCCCCACAACTTCCTCAAGATACTATTACTCAGGAGGAGTTGCTGAGAGAATTCCAGCTGCTGCTCAAAGGTACAGAACAAAAATTACTATACTCCAACAAGTATACTGTGGTACACCTAAATCCAAATATAAAAAACAAATGTGGATGAGTTGATATCATGTGTTGATAGTTTTGTTTTTGTTTTTAATCTGTGCTCAGTCGTTACCGACTCTGCGGTGACTGCTTGGACGAGTCCTTGCAGTTTTCAAGGCAAGGTGTTTCGGAAGTGGTTTGCCAGTGCCTCCTTCCTAGAGCAGAGCCCAGCTGGCGAGTGCAGGAGGCGGGGTTTCCATTGCTTCGCGCCCTTTATGGGCGCGCGCGGTTTTTCGCGCTTACCAGCAACTGCTCCCGACTCCTTTTTTGCAAGGCGCCGCCAGCATTTTTCCTCCCACTCGAGTGAGAGTACCCATTTATCTACTCACGTGAGTTTTCAAACTGTTGGGTTGACAGGAACTGGGGAGGAAACAAGAGCTCACCCTGTTAACGGGAAGGCTGGACTCAAACCGCTGAAGCGTCGACCATTTCTGGCCGGCAACTTTCAGCATCATTAAGCCACTGTGCCACCGCGTCCCCTTGTGTTGATAGTATGGTTATCTTAATAGGACTCCTGGGGGATAAACCATTTTAAATTCCTTTTACAAGGACAAATGATATTATGGAATGGCTGGAGTAGATGGAAGTTGGGGTAAGGAAGACCAGATATCGTTCAGGCTTTTGGAGGCTCATTCACAATTTATAAAGTGCAGTGTGATTGGTCAGTTACAAGGGGACTGTGCTATGAATCCTTAGGAATTTTGCAGTCCAAATAAGACACTGCTGCCCTGATTCTTAAATTGTGAGCTTTGATCAGGACATGTTCTGGATAGATTGCACAAAGAGGGCCTTTAAGATGTAGGTCTGATTGACCCTCTCATATGTCAGGCTTAAAATCTGTTCAAGCTCATGCTATTTATATAAATTTGTATTAAATATCAAAATACAATTGGCATTGGTTTATTCTATTTTCTTTTACACCGGATCAAAGTAGAGCTAGAAAAGTAGAATTAATTTGCAAGTGCTTTCAAAAGAATATACCTTATTTCTACTTCAAAACATTGCATAACTAGAGATGCTTAGCATTTGCCAACTTCTTAGCTGGTCTTTAAAATGGTGGTGGTGGTATAGCATGATCATATTCAGATTTTCCCTTCCTCTACCACTACCAAGTAGAATAAAAAGAGGTGAAACCCACTGGGAATCTCTGAGGACCATATTCTGAATAAGTTTACAATTTGTAAATCAGCCCTTTTGAAGCTGGCTGGTGAGCTATTTTTCTATACTGGATATTGGATTGGGCGGGGGGGAGCTTGCTTAGTTAGCCCTCCATTCTTTCCTCCTCAGCTCTGCTTATTTGACTATACAGAATTCTATGTACTTTCCTCCAATAATTCCTAATAGCATGTGGTTACCAGGCTAGAGCTGATATACCACCCTATTCTGGGAGTGATATTTTATGTTTTATCTGATCTCTCCAGATGTTGTGGAACTGCAACTCTCTAATTAGGAATTCTGGCTATTGTAGTTCCAGCATGTCTAGAAGCAACCAGATTGATGAAGACTGTAGAGCATAATAAATGAGGTATCTGAATCTCTGAAGAACCTTGTAGCCCAAAGTATCAGAGACTCAGAACCCTGTTCAGGCAATGCCCTCCCATGCAGAATTCAACATGTAAGGAGCAGTGAGCAGCCCCTCCTCTTTCCAAACTGTGATGGTGTCATCACCGAAGAGTCACACTGTAAAGCACTGTTTCTCAACCTTGGCAACTTTAAGAATTCCCCAGCCAGCAGAATTCCCCTGCTGGCTGGGGAATTAAAGTCCACACATTTTAAAGTTCCCAAAGTTGAGAAACACTGCTGTAGACTTGCTTTTCAGTGAGGTAACCAGCTTGACTTGGATAGGGGAATGGCTGTTTACCTCTCTTTGTGTGCTGAACTCTGCATGGGAAGGTATTGCCTGAAGAGGACCTCCATCAGTTTTTGCTTCAGAAACAGATAAACACATTCAATTGTACCCTGACAATAAAAACAAAAAAACAAAACAAAATCAAGTGAACCATATTTTGTGAGTAAAATATAATGGGGCCCATCTTTGTCATAAATCTTTGTATTTTTGACCACTCAGGAATAATCAGGGAGCAAGAAAGGATCAATGTGAAAACCACCAGCAAAAACTGCCAGCATGGAGAAGATAGCGATGGAAAAGAAGAGAATTTATTTCCCCAGATAAGCATCCCTCTGATAAAAAGCAGGGAGCAAGGACGAGTTGAAGCAGCATTCCACTGCCAGACCCGGAAGAATATTTCAGTAAATCGACGATCCCTTCAAGAACTTCAACTTTATTACATAGTGAGTAACAAAAGGAAAGAGGTTGGATAGCTCTACTTCTGGTGCACAGTTCAAATGAGGCCTTACGTGCTAGAATGAGAGCGTAGTAACAGCCTTAAATCAGATTGCATCTGTGTGGACTCTCTCTGCATGTGGATCCTGGAAAGCTCCATGGTTTTCAGAGAACTCCAGGAGACAAAGTGGCAGAAGAGATGACTAGAGAACCCCTGGAGAAGAACAAAGAGGGAATTGAATCAAGCACGGGTAAAAGCCCTTTAAGGACTATCTCCTGGTAATAACAGTGACAAAATGTCATTATTTTTCCACTCTTATCACATCTGCAGATAGCCAGCCAGCAGCCCTGTTCAACGGTCCTTCCTAGATAAGCCTGCAAGGCTGCTGTGAAGACTATTTGAGGCATCTGTCAGATAAAATTACTTGGATTCATTCTAAGTTGTACTTTATGCATGTTCTTTAAGTTGACCAAGGCATGGTCTGGCTTAGTTCCCTGGAAAGTGTTCAAGCTTGCTAGTTGTGAGGAAGTAGAGAGAGGCTCTAAGTGTGTATTAGATCCATGTCCCTTCTAGCTAGTTAAAGCCTCATAGGAGATGATGGGTGGTTTGATCCAGGCAGTGGTAAATATATCCTTGAGAGAGGAGGTGGTTTTGTCCATTCTTAAAGAGGTGGTGGATCATCCCCTCCTCAAGAAACAACTGCTATATCCCATTTTTGTCCTGGCCTCAATTGTTGAAAAGGTTGTCGGCTTCAGAGTACACTGAAAGAAATGGATTATCTGGATCTTTTTCAGTTGGTTTCAGACCAGGGTACAGTAATGAGCTGGCATGGATTGCATTTGTGAATGATATCTAGTGGGATGGGGATGGGGTATCTCCCTGGCCTTCCTTGTTCTCTTAGCAGTTTTTGATTCCATTGATCATAGTATCCTCATGGACTAGCTTTGGCAGTTGAGTGGAGGGCACAAAGTTGTAGCACTTCTCATTTCTCCAGGGCCAGTTCCAGCTGGTGTTGTTAGGAGAGGAGATAACTAGTCCTAGATCCCTACTTTGTAGGGTTAATCAGGGTTTTCACTCTCTCTCCACTCCTATTAACTTCTACCTGAAGCTACTGGATAGGATTGTCCATCGGTATGCAGTTACATATCATCAGAACAAAGAAAGTATCTTCATTCTTTCACAACTCCTGTTTGAAGAGTGGGTGGCAGTGATAGTGAGGAGAGCCTTTGCACAAATCCATCTTGTGCACCAATTGCACGCATTCCTGGTTTTGGAAGCCCTGTTCACAGTCACTCACACCTTTGGTCATCTCCTGATTGGCCTACTGCAACCCACTCTATATGACATTGCCCTTGAAGAACCATCCACAAGGTACAGCTGGTCCAGAATGCACATGGACATACCTTGATGGGCTCAATGACCTGCATTGGCTTCCAGGTGCAATTCAAGTGCACCTTCAAAGCCTTTCATAACATATGGCTGGCTTACTTGTGGGACCACCTATTTCCAATTATCTCTATCTCCCTCCCACAATATCCAACAGGCTGAGCATGTTCCAAGTCCCTTCCATAAAATATTGTTCTCCCATGGGACCTAAGAGTGCCTTCTCTGTCATGACACCAGCCTTTTGGAATAGCATACCCTTGAGATTCAGATGGTCCCAAACTTGCTGGCCTTTCATAAGGCCCTGACACCTTGGGCCAGGTTGCTGGTCAGTCTGTCCATAATTTTTAGAATATTAAATGATAGGGCTTAGTTATGCTTGTTAGAAAATTACTGAGGGTAATATCTAGTTTAGTTTACACTTAGCACACTCCCCGGTCAGTCCCTATTCAGATCAGAGCAAGCACACACAGAGTTCAGCTAGCAAAAAAATATGACTTGATGTTTATTTATTAAACATCAACAAGTATCAAAACAACTGGCAAAAATGGGATGAAAAGCAGTCAAAACTAGGGATACAGAGAGACATGAACAGGAAAGAATTTATACTTTCTACATGTTTATAACTATCAAAAGGCACAGAACTTTCTAGAGCCACTGGAAACAACACTTTGGATAATGAGCATCTGGTTATTCCAGCTTTAACTTTTTTACATACAGAAGAGCAGCAGAATAGAAATGGAAAATAAGGCACCAGGTGATCCCTCCTCTATTCTGAACCATTATAGAAACAATTTGGTGGACAGGGATGATGTATCCAACATTGCTAAGTTCTCTTTTGTGTTGCTTTTTATCTTGCTGTTTAAGTTTTGGCTTTAATCATGGCTGTTAGCGGCCATGACTCAAAATTTGCAAGTTGAGCAGCCATATAAATTGATTAAATCAATCAGTCAACTCTTGCATTGTCCCAGGCCTATGTATGTCAAGGAAGAAGGGGGATGTTTTTTACTAAGTGCTTCTAAATTAAGATAGGCAATCTATGGGCTGCATGGGGCTCCCTGCCCCTATTTGGCAGCCCATTCGCACCTTAAGATTGCACCTTTGAGTTTGGCAGCATGAGTGGGTTTTTTGCCCTTCATAAAACATGCTAAATGGGTTGTTACGTTTCTCCATCAAAAAGAGCAAGTGAGTAAAGATTACCTTGCTAAAACTAAAGAAGTGCCTGGTGGAAGAAAAACCAAAGCCCTAAAAGCTCACTTTGCTGATGGAGAGATTTCTGATTACTAAACTTGTCATTTGTCCTGCTTTGGCACATTATTTGTATTTATGTTAATCATTACTGACTTAAAGTCCCATTAATTCTTAAGAATGTGCTCAGAATAAATCTGGGTCCAACCTGCTATTCCCAACCATGATTATACTAACAAATATGTGTTCACAAATAACTGATACTTGGGCCCTGTTCTCTGCAGCACTCTTTATTATTTGAATATCCCCATACAGAACAAGGAAGCAGAAAATATGGTACAAACATTTCTTACCACTACAATGGTCTTTGTGGTAACTTTTTTCCTTGCCTAATTATTGTTACAATATCTTGTCTGTCCCAATCACATAGAAGGGAATTTTCATTAGCCAGCCTCAGCGTTTTGCCACTGATGATCTTAGAGGGAAGGTCAAATAATATGGCACAATCAGATGAGACAATTAAAGCCAGTGTTTTTCATACTTAGCAACTTTAAGATGTGTGGACTTCAACTCCCAGAATTTCCCAGCCAGCATGCTGGTGGGGAATTCTGGGAGTTGAAGTCCACACATTTTAAAGTTGCCAAGTTTGAAAAACAGTAAGTAAGACCACTTCCGGCACGCAACTGCATTTTCTATCAAGCATGCCCCTATTAACTTCCTGCTTGGGCTGGTCTGATGAGGAGAATGCTGCAATTTTCATGGCAGGGTTGCCAAATTCTGTGATTTTGATTCCTATGAGATGGCTGTGGATTTCACATTGAACATCCCAACTGCATGATTTATTTGTGCCTGGATGGTCTTTGAGCTTTCCACTTCCCTTTCCCTTTGTTTTTATTTGACCATATTGTAATATATTTAATATTTTGATTTTTGCAAATACATTTTAACTAAATGACCCTTTCTTGTTTGCTTTGTACTAGCCTAAAAAAGAGGAGCTATTCCATCGTGGCCTAGGTCTAAACCTTAACAATGGTCAATATATGGCCCCTGTCAGTGGATATTACATTTTCAGTGCCAGACTGTATGTTGGTAAGTGCTTAACTCGAAATAAATAACACACTGCTGGCTTCTTCATTGTACAAACTCTAGACAATCAAGAATTGGCAAGATATTATTTTTACTTTATCAAAGAAATTATCTATAAAAACAGACAAAAACATAATTCTGCTCATAGAAGAATGGTGGAAACTGACCTCACCTGAATTTTTTAAAATTGGCAATACTAAATCCCAAGGAGATTTAGCATCAGGGAGAAATTTGGCAGTAATGGATGATATAACAATTACTAGCAAAGTCATAGAAATATGCATCTTGGCTAACTCAGGATTGGAATGGGCAGATCAGTTTGTTCAAACAGATCTCAGTGTTTTTTCAGACAACAAATAGCCACAAGAACCACAAAAGACTAGTTTGTGCATCATGCAGTATGACGGGCACCGGAGTAATAAGCACATTAGAGCAACGCCCTTAGTAATGTCCCGCTTCTGTGGCCATTTCCCAGTTGCTGGCACTCACTGCGGCCCAGCCTGATTCTTTCTCACCTGTTGCAGTTCCTGAAATCCATTCCAAAAGATGCCAGCCACGGGCCCGAGATCGCCTGCGCTTGCTGATCTGTGTTGAGTCACTCTGCCGCCAGAAAAGGTGAGTGCTTGGGACAGAAATAGTTTTATGTTGAGAAAGCATCTGTTTCTCAGTTTTACTGCATCTTGGCCTGCCTATGTCTCCCAATGTTGGTAATCATTAATTACCTAGGTGGCTAATTCCCATAACCTCTTATCTACAACTAAATGGGTTTATAAAAGAAATGTAGTGGGAAGTGAGATTGGATGTGGTTTTTAGCGCAAACAGGGCAATTAAAAAGGGGTCATTTTGTGTTCTGGCATCCATTGCTTTTAATAAAGATCCTGTTATCTTACTTTCAGTTCTCTGGAAACAGTCAGCACTTTGGACAAAAGCAGTGAATATTTCACTATTTCAGTCAGTGGAATTCTCTTTCTGCAGGTGAGTCTACAGCCAGCCAGCAAGCATGCTAAAAACTTAGAGTTTCAGGAATATCCAACTTTAAGTGGAAAGTTGTTTTTTTTTTTTTAAGGCTAAGTTTTGTGACATGAGGACGGTAGAGGCCAAACTCTGGCAAAAGTCTACCCCTTGTTTTTTTTCTCTTCAAAATGTGCTTTAGAAACTACGTAAGGCCAACTAAATTCAAGGTTTGTGTTCAATTCAGTGTCAGAAGTTATCACACATCATGCCCAGCATAATGTGGCTTGCTTATATTTGGCTTAGCATGTTATATGAAGCTAGTCAATTTAGCTCTTTAACAAACCATGATTAAAAGACCATATGGTTTAGTACAGTGTGTGAACGTAGTCACTCACTTTGACTTTCTCTATTGCAGGCTGGCCAATATGCTTCAGTTTTCGTAGATAATGCTACAGGATCTTCCTTCATTGTACGAAGTGGGTCAGACTTCAGTGGTGTCCTCTTGGGTATCTGAGTGACCCAGAGCTGCTTATTTTTAAGCTGAAATCCTGCCTTTAATCAGCTCTAAGCTAAGCCTCTCTTTTTTGGTCAAGTGAAGTTGGACTCCCTAGAAGGAAGCACACCCTTCTGAAAAATCTGATTGTAGAAAGAGTTCAGCATGTGGCAAAACATCCAAAGGAAGCAAGACCACAAGTGACATTTGACTGAAGATAACATATATTACTCTAGCACGAAAGGTCTGAAATTTGACCCTTCAGTTTTCTAGTTTACTTTTGGAGGTGGCTCTCAACCCTACTTGAATCCTGAAAATATACATTACATGCTGTTCCTGCCACAACAGAATGATTTTGTCAAAAGTTTATATTTCCTGAAGATACTATCTTATCAGCTCATAGTCTTTCATTAAGGATATCAAATACTCCTACCCACTCTGCATATATGTTCTTACAGAAATCCTCATGTGTCTAAGTTTTTGTTCATTTTATCCTACCTTTTTTCCAAGAGCTCATGATGATAAACTCTCTCCTCCAATAATCACCCCCACCAATATCTTTATGTTGGGCTGAAAGTTCATGTCAGGCCTAAAGGTACCTCATGAGCTTCCATAATAGAGGATGGACTTCAGTATGAATCTTCCTGGCCCCATGTCTAAACCACTGCCCTACTTTAACCAACTTGTGAAATGTCCTGCTTTGTATGGTACTCCCTGCCTGATGACACTCTACACATTACGTAAATTACCATCAACCACATTTGGCACAGTTATTATAGTAGTACTGGGTTGCTTATAAATGCTGCTAACCCTATAACCTGTTGCCTTAAATCCATCAGATTACATTGTTTTGATGCACTAATTCCAATTAATGGAGGAAGGACAGATGCTACTCATTTTGCATTTAATTCCTAATTTTATCAGAACAAGTTTATAAAGTTACATGCTCAGGCATCCATTGATGGCCTGATACAGTGAGGGAACTTCTCTTTCGGAGTAATGGTCTTTACGTTCTTTGAGGCTACCAGAACTGTAGGGTGATATCCAAGAAAACCAACACAGCACAGCACCACCCTCTAGTCCTACAGCCACACTGGCACGTAGGCAGATTTTTAAGCCATTTCTCTATTTTAATTTATGTATCAGAGAAATGCAGAGGACACACCCTTATCTATTTCAGCCTGAGAGTCACTTATGTAACTGCTGCTTTTTCATAATCATTTTCTACAAGCAAATGCAGAAATTTTTTTTAGCAAAATAGATGGTGAAAGAAAAGAGACTTACAGGCAGCAGGCAGGCATCAGCTCAGTTTTGAACACAAGTTGGCTTCTAGGTCCTCAGTAATCCACGTATGGGCAAGTCCTAGTTCAAGTTAGATCAACTCAAATATTCAGGAAACTCAGGAATCGTGGCATCTTTGGGTCTTCCTTTCCCTAAAAACACCCAACTACGAGGCCCAGGACTGCTAGTGATTCTTGATGATAATCCAACTTTCTACATGCAAGAGTTTTTTTTTTTTCCTTTTCCATATAGACGAATTTCTAATAAGCTACTGCTCAGAATTTGAAAAGAAAGAACATAAGAATAGGAGAAAGCCAGAATTCAATGCCACTTCTAAAGACCACCAGAGGGCAGAAGCATCTGCAGAACATTTAGAGTTCTAGGCACCAAACTGATTAAGCTAAGGACTATAATAGTTCTATTTTAGGAAAAGCACATTCTCAGTAAGTTGTGCACCCACCCTTCTTATTCTGGAAATGCTAATGGCTTGATAAGGCCAAGGTACTGCCCTGCAGCACAATCAATCATACGCAAATTGCAGCTCTCTTATATACTTACATATTTACTAATGTATGGGGGGGGGCATGCATGCATATATACACTATACAGTATATTTTTTACAGCAAGTCTAGCTTATTATATTAAAAAATGAGCGAATGAACACATGCACCCACTTTTAAATGTGTTTTATTTATTTACAGAAGGAATATGCCAAACAATGAAGCTGAAGCACAGAAAAAATGGCTCTTGAGTAGATTTAGAATATAAAAGAAACATGGAGCTAGTCCTCATATCTTAATAATTCAACAGAAAGCACTGAATTAGGGAAACTAACTTTTCTAGGTCTAATTATTTACAGGTACTTGTGAAATTCTCCTCCTCCTCACCAGTCAAACAGGTAGGCTTAACATAAGCTCAGAACTCTGATAAATAGAAAAAGGTTTGACTGAAGCTCTTTTTAAATGGAAAATCTCCCTTGCTGGCTTGTTGAATTCCGTTCCTTGAACACCTTCTATGAAAGAGTTAACAACATGGCAATAGTTGCAAAGGATATTGAAAACTGAACTGAGAATGTAAGGGCTGATTAGCAAATTTTTACTGCTTGACAACCTCAGCTGCTGGCATCCATGTGTGAATAAACGATTATTTGTCGAAATGCACCCTAGTATCACTGAGAAACATAGAAGCTAGGAGTTTGAAGGACCATCTAAACCAATCCCCTGCTCAGTACAAGAAGCCACTAAACATTTCCTGATAGGCGATTTATCTAGTCCCGATTTGAAAACTTCCAGAACAGGGGTCTTCCACTGCTTAGCTAGTTTCACAGTCAGGCAATTCCTCCTAAATATTCAGCCTGAATCTTTCATTTAATTTGAGCCCACTGGTTCTTGTTCTCCTCAGTTTCAACTGAGAACAGGTCCATCCCCTTTTGCACGCAGCAAGAGTTTTAGTTGTTCATAGACCACTACCCTACCTCCCTTAGCCTTCTCTGGTGCAAGTTAAACATGCCGTTTCTTTATCTGCTCTCTGTGGGGCTCAGTACGCATCACCTTGGTAGCATTCTTCTAAACCCACCCCAGCTTCTCCATGTCCTGTTTAACTGGGGTGTCCAGAACTGGGCACAGTATCCCAAGTGCAGAGTACCTGCAGTTACTACTTCCCACAACCTGGATACAAAGTTTAATTTAATGCAGCTCAACATTAACTCATCCTTTTTGCCTGCTTATTCATCTGCTTGCTCTTATTTGGTTGGTGGTGCACTCTATTCCCAAATCTCCCCAAACTTTCCCCCCCTAGTTTTCTCTTACACTTTTCACCGTTGAATATCACCTTACCCATAATAGCCTGATTCTATTCCTATTAATTAAATAATCAGAATAACGGTACTTAGAAAGTACATCAAAAGCTGACGTTAAAGATGATCTTTTATGTATCTGCGAGAGAATGCTACTTCACCAAAAAGAGAGGACAGTGCTCTTACAAAGGTCTTCCACACATACTAATTCATATATTGAAGTTTTTCCTGAATGCTTTATGTGCAGCTGTTTAAAAAAAAAGATTTGTATCTAATAACTGCTGAAAATAAACTAAAATTCAATCTTAGCTAGTTCTCTCAAGCTGCACTGGGGTTTGAATGCTGACCCAAGGCTCAAGCCTAAATATTTCTCAACTTAGATTCCCACTGATTTCAGTAGGTTTACTCTAAATATGATAATCTCATTGACAGCCCAATCATATTCACAAAGTGGACTAATTTTAATGTAATTTCTCCCAAGACTTCAGCCCAAAGAATCTAACCGTGCCATACTGAAAGATTACTCTGTGCATTTAGAATCTAATCTAATCACACTTTCTTGCTGAGGTTCACTGGAAATTTTGCATATAGCTGTATAAATACTGCATGGATACTTGGGTAGTATCCATGCAGCCTGAATCCAAAGTTCAGATGGCCATAGGCATATTTTTGAAAATGAATTATATTACAGTATTTATGATGAACCAGGAGTTGTTAAAAATTGCTATTCTTCAAAATTAGCACAAAAATCCCAATTCTTTTTTTTTATTGGATAAAAAATTCATTTACCAAGAAAACCGGAAAACCTCATTTGCTGGATTTTGAGGATTGCTCTGAGTCATTTAATATGTTGGTTCCACCCCATGCAACAGAATGAGGAATATACTCCCCTCTGCATGGCAGTTATAAAAACTGCTCCTGTCTCCAAAAAATATTCAAGAAGCAGTCAGGAAGGGAACAGATCCCATGCTCAGTTATTAACAAATTGCCAATTAAATATACCAGGGCCCTTTGTGCGTGTATTTTTTAACTGAGATACTGGAGCCTGAAGTACATCTTGTAAGACAGCAGACAATATGAGTATCTGCAAGAGATTTTGTTAGATTACTGCATGTAGCCCATTCAAGGAGGATAACAGAAGACCCAATTACTTACAGCTTATGAAACAATGAACTGACCTGAACGCTTAGAAAAAAACCCTTTATTTACAAATAAGCATATGGGGGAAAATCCATAAAATCCTACACACGCGCACACTTTCACAAAAACACTAATGTGTTCTATTAAATTCGCTGCATGCTGCTATGGATCTTCCTTGCAAATATTCTTCCTATCATTGTTCAATCCGGACCACCACCACAGTGACATTATCTGCTGATCCTCGCTGCACTGCTTTGTTGGCCAGCCTGTTACAGGCTGCTTCATATCTCATATCAGTGGCTGATTTGGCATCTCTTGTTGGAATAGTTTTGTCCTGTTGAGAAGTGGAGCACACAGACAAGTCAGGGCAATTTCCTTTTACTCCAGTGAGATAACTCTATATAGTCACGTCTCATCTCTGACGTCTTGAATCTTTATCATTAGACCAAGTAGTATTAACTCAGGCTTGGACATGATTATTTGCAAATTCTCTTCAAGAGAATGCTCTGTTTTTAAAGAGGGATAACCATGTTTGCTGAAGTAAAACAAAAAGATAACAAAACATCATCTTGCCTAGGATCTGATACCACCTACATAAAAATGAACTGAAGTCCAGAAAAGATCACCGTATAATATATGTATTAGTTCTAAGGTGCTGCGGGCCTCTTTATTTCACCACAAACAAAAACCTCACGTAATGGGCATGCACTCTCCTGTGCACCTTTTCTGCCTTTAAACAGGAAACAAAACTGCCCACCATGCAGCCTCAATACTGCTGCCCTGTTTAATACAGGACTGTGCTATTGTGGCAATGTAAACTGGCTTCTTGGATTCCTAATCTGAGAGAAAGTGCACACTTGAACAATACCAGTCTTATCGCTTAATGGAATAATCTAAGTGTGTTCTAGGACTCTGAAGTTGAAAGCAAAGATACAAGTAGCACAGCAGCAAACAGAAAAGAACAAAAGAGCTGAACTGCCTCTCAAACATTGTTTGCATGAAGAAGCTTGTAATCCTTCAGCAAACAGTAATGAAAAGTTCAAAGTGATGAAGTGACAAAACAATAAGTGGAAAAAAGGAACAAGACCAGTGAAAATAAATGACATGTAATTTCTTTTTCATCACCCTCTTCTTGATTTCTCAACTCAACCCTCCTCCTCTCACCTCCAAACAACACATGATGAAGTTCACAGCTTCTTCTGGTGAAAAGACTTTAAAGAGACCATCACAGGCCAATAGGATAAATCTGCAAAGGTAACTGACAGTAAGATTTACCCAAAATACTTAAAGGAAAAAAAGCATATACTTATACTTTTGAAGCCACTTATGAAGAGTTACCACACATATTCTTCTTACCTGGGATACTGTTTCAATTTTACCTGTCATTGTGTGTAAGCTGACAGCGTTTGACATCCGGCACAGAGACAACCCCAAATCGCTTGTACTGTCCATCCCCAATGGACCGGGAGACCTCCAGGACACCCAGAACACGTCCTTCTCTAAACAGAGAAAGGACGGTGGTGGATTTATAATTCTGTTACTAAATTAAACCCCTAAAATATGGATTGTAGTTCCAAAAGGTAGATCCACAGAAGCTCTGGGCTTACAACATTCATAATCTCTACCGAACATAGTCATTAATCCAGAGTGATGGCAATTGTAGGCCAATATTGTCTAGAGACTCAGTGGGCCAAAGAACCAATTTAGTCTACAGGGTTCACAAATGGCTGATACAATTCCTTTTGCAACTTCAATTTCTAATTTTAGAATGTAAATAAAAGCAACACACAAGTATTTTCTTTACCACATTTAAAAACAGAAATCAATACTCAAGTCATTAGTTTTTCTAAACAATTAGGTGGCAGCATTCTATATTACATGACACCTTTACTCTTATCTATCATGTAATGAAATCAATAATAGCATAGTCTAAAACAGCCTTCCCAATTTGACTGGACATGGTGGGATTGGTAATCCAATACATCTGATGGGGATCAAGTTGGGAAAACCTGTTTTACATTTTTGATAATTCAAATTAGTATTCCATTAAGAAAAAAGGAAATGCAGTTTTTGATCACTCACACTGGAGTGTGGTTAACATTTAAGAATGGCTAGTTTGTTCCCCAAACTGAATGTATGGAAAAGACAGTTTTATACCTAAAAATACTTCTTTACAGCATCAATATATTTTCATAGCCAGCATTTATAATAAAATTACTACATTTATCTACTTTATTTATTTATTTATTTATTTCTATGGCCGCCCATCTCACACAAAGTGACTCAATGACCCATGACTAAGCCGTGTCTAAAGTTATGGCTCCTAACAAATTTTGTTAGAACCTGAAGGTTATGTTAAATGCCAATTAGAATATATTTGCCATACCACAATTAATATACAGTTGCAAGAAAAAGTATGTGAACCTTTTGGAATGTCATGGTGTTCTGCATTAATTTGTTGTAAAATGTGATCTGACCGTCATCTAAGTCAAGAGTATTGACAAAT